CCTAGCTTCATCACAGTTGTATAGGCTTAAATCTTTTCTTTTTGTTTTCTTCTTTTTAAAAGATCAATCTAATTTTGTTAAGAAGCACACTTTTCTTATTTGTATCCTACTAGGAAAAAGTGTTCAGTTGAGTAAAAAATCAAATAGCATACATGTCTTTAAAAACTACTTAAAAAGCAAATAACTTTCCCCACTTAAATTGTTACTCTGTTCTATTCACCTAAAGTATCAGGGTCATATTGGTAATATTCTAAAGATTTCCCTGTAAGAGTGGACTTTAATTTTAAAACTAACAATATCTGAAAAATTATTTTCAGCTTAATTGAATGAGTGTGATGTGCTTTTGGTATTATTAATACATACACAATTTCCAAACAAGGGTAACCTGGATTAGAAACGCTGATCACACCTGGATGTCCTGGTAATATCAAATTGCTCTACAAGTTTTTACCTGGCTCCCATCTTCATTTAATGGCAGGTCAGTAACAAGGAAGACTGGATTGATTACAAAGGCTTCACCACAAATCTTTCTGGGAAACTTGATTTTTGCTTCAGTTTGAACATCCTTCTAAATCACTGCCACTAAGTTAGTGAAAATCCTCGAAGATGTCTTTTACAAGAAAGAACACAGAATTTAAAATTCCATCATGCAAAAATTTTAAGTTCAGCCACATGTTTCACTCCACACACCTATTTCCTAAATTCTGTGAAGAAATGAAATAGGCTGAGTACTCATATGATCTTGCTCTTTTTGTTCTTAATTGATTTTCACAAGAAAATCAATTACTCATCAAGTAGAATTCTTGCACATGACATAATGTTTATGACTGTGCCCTCTACCCGCCCTAGTAGTTCACTGCACGTGTCACATGCCTCTTCCCACAGCTGTGGCTCAGTTCAGATAGCTCACCACCACAGAAACGCTGCAGTTACAAGGAGCTGATGATGAGCTTTTGCGGATCCACTCCTCTGCACCTGTACCATCAGTTTTCTCCAGGCTCAGTCACTCTCAATGCAGGAGCAGCCAGGAACAAGCAACACGCCCTGGGAAAGCTCTGGCCAGAACAGGCGCCCACTGTGTACGCTCAGCAATGCAGACCTGCGTGTAAATCCTTAGAGAAGCTTGTCTGCTCCCGGTGGAAGGGACTTTTTAACAGTCCCTTTGCTCACAAAGGGAAGAGGTTTTTCTTGCAGGAAGCCGCTTGGAGGGGGCTCGCTCTTCCCGTTGTACTTCTGTCTCTGCCCACACTGGACCGGGTCCTCATCCACCTCTTGATTATAGCATTTAAGGCACAAGCGCACGGGACTCCCCATGCCTTCTGCTTTTTCGGTGGACTCGAGACTCTGGCGGTGAACTCCAGGCTCGCTGGAGGAGAGGTAAGCACTTGTTCCCAAATTTTGCTGGTAGCGATCGGGTGGGGTGATGGCGGTGGCGTTTCTCTCCGCGGGCCTTCGTCCCAGTAGTGGCTTTGGTTTCCTGAAGACTTGTATGTGCGATTTCAACAACGAAGTTATCTTCTCTTCCCAGGGAAAATACAGCTTCCTTCTTCCTTCCGAGGGTACTTTGGTTCCACGCAGTCTCCCCACCTCCAGCGCCCAGCACACCGTGGCTAATTCCCCAAGGTGTAGCGGCAGCGCCCTGACAGCGCCACCGTGTGGTTCAGAAGGAACTGTTGCCGCAGGCTTCCTGGGTGACCCTTTGCAGGGGAAGAAGAGAAACCAGAACCCCCTGGAAGGCATCTAACAACTCAGTTTTAAGCCTGTTAAAACCACAGGCCAAATTTCTTATTCCTACGGACTTGTGCAGTGACTAAAGCTCTCTTACACTCAACACATGAAGCACGGAAGACCTTTCTTTAGTTCACTGAGGTCATGAAGCAGTGCTATTGCCTAGTGTACTCCCTGCTCCTTTTGTTGTGCTCTTGTTGGGTTTGAGAGAGCAACTGCATTTTATATGCTAATTATTTTAAGTTTTGATTTTTTTCCATGTAGGCCCATCAGGAGTATTAATAATTCCCCTATCTCCTGAGGTTTCAGTGCCAATAGTAGGTTTATTTCATAAGTTGAGATTTACTTATTTATTTTTAACTCAAAGGGTCTTTGAAAGATTGGTATTTTTTTTCTTTAAATGTCACAATTGCCCAAAGATTTCTTTATAACATTTTTTAAAAAAATATTTTTTAGTTGCAGATGGACATGATATCTTTATTTTATTTTTTTTATTTTTATGAGGATTGAACTCAGGGCCTCGCAGTGCTAGGCAAGTACTCTACCCCTGAGCCACAACTCCAGCCCCATATAGCATGGGGTATTTAATGACAAATTTAATTTCTTCAACAGATGCTGAACCACATAGTTTGCTTCTCCATGTGTTCTAATCGGCAAATTGCATTTTTTTAAGGACTGTAAAAAACAATTTAGTTCATTTAAGTTATCAGATTTATTGACATGAAAGTATGTATTATATTCTTTTATCTTTTGTTAGCTACACTATCTGCTATAATGTTCCCCTTTTTGTTATTTCAACTCTCTGTTTTCATGAGTCCTGACTGGTTAGGGGGATATCAGTTATACTAATCTTTTCAACAGACCTTATTTCAGGGGCTGGGGGTGTGGCTAAGTGGTAGAGTGCTTGCCTAGCACAGGTGAAGCACCGAGTTTGATCCTCAGTACCACATAAAAAATAAATAAAAATTAAATAAAGTTATAAAAGTGTTTTTAAAAAGATCTTATTTTAATTCTCAAAACAACCCAAAGGGGTTGTTAAGTAGGATGATGACTGCATAAAATACTATATTTTTTCCTTCCCACTAGCTTAATGAAATCTGTTGAAAAAAACAAATTTCTGCTAAATGAAATTGAGAATAAGGGAGGTAATTGAATACTATTAAAACTCACAAACAATAAAATAATAAATAAGTATAGAAAAAAAGATTAAAAGCTCATAAATTTTACTCATTAAGGAGAGATCTTATAAATTGACATATCTTTTGCCTCCTGTCAGAGCATCCCAGTAAATTATCCTGCCATTCATTGCTCAGTTCACTTAGAAGATATTTCTTGGAAATGGTCATAAGAGATCGAACTTGGTGGTGGTGGTGGTGGAGGAGGAGGGTAGTTTTATACTAAATTGTGATGAATTTGCACCTTATGAAAGAGGAATTAATTTGTAAAATAGCCAACATTAATGGAAGCCCATTTGTTAATAAAGAAGAAAGGTTGATAGTTTGGAAGAAAAATGATGAGAAATAATAATGAAGTTCTACTATAGGCTATGTCCTATGATATACATTATGCATACATTGCTAAAATTTAGTGAATTTTGTTTATTATTTTTCTGGTGCTAGATATAAAACTCAGGACCTCACATTTGTTAGTTAAGTGCTCTCCAACTGAATTATACCTATAGCCCCTGATTTGTTGAGCCACCTGTTTTGACTCAGTCATAGCACTAAGTCCTTTGCATTCTATTCTTTGTTAGTTCTCATACAAGTCTGTTAGGTGGACATTATTGTCACGAAAATCAATATCCTGAGTCACGTATGTTTCCTACAGTGACACAATCATTAAGTGCCAGAGGAACTGTTCAATTGATTGTGACTCCAAGGATCAAAGGTTTACCTTTGTAACATTCTGCCTCTCTGTAATTCATTTAATTACAGTTTAAATATTTAAATTACAGTTTATATAAGAGTTAATAGAATGAATGTGATCCCCCCCAGGCTCATCACACAAAGATGTGTTTGGGTGCAACTGGAGGTACTTCAGGAGTGCTTCTGGAGAGAGGGAGCCACATTTCTCATCATGCAAATTTCATATTGATAGGGAAGTCTGGAGGGGGCACCTGTTGGCCATGTAACAATAGGAGATTTCTGATTGTGAGAAAGGGCCTTATTTGAAAAAGTCAGTGATTGGTACTCGCATGACATTAGGTCATTTTATAAATGAGCACCAGCATTCGTGGGTCGCCTTGCTGCCTTACAACCTCAAGGGTGGAGGGAGAGAGTACCACCAGGACCATCCATTTACAAAGGCTCTATATTATTTCATTGTGTGTATGACTTGCTGACTATAGACGGTGAGTATGTATTTGTCCTATTGTCTATTTATTTCATCAAATTACTTTTATTTTGTGCTGTATCCCTCATGCAATATTTCTTATTTGTTGATCTGGGGCACTAATTGCTTTGGGTTCCACCTAGCTTCATCAAAGCATACAGGGATCAATATTTCAGCAAATGTGTGGCTCAATATACCTCTGCCTATGGTTTGGGGATTTCTGACTTATGTGTGGCAAGAATAATAGGGTTTTGTGGCCCACCTTGAAACAAGATTCAGTAAGTATCCACCAAGAGGTCCAAATTCTTCCAAGATTAGTGAGAAGTTAATAACTGGCTGTTTGTAAACACAATTTACAAGTTCTAGTTCAGCTAACAATCGAATTTAACATTAGAAATCTATCTTTCGGCTTTCCCAGTAAATTATTTCTCATTTTCTTTGAATTATTTCCCCTGAAAGATGATTAGAATGTTCTCCATTGGCCTAACTCCTGTTTAATTTGCCACATGGAAGTTGGTACAGTTGACGTTATAACAATAGGAGATTTCTGATTTTGAGTAGTTACCTTGTTTGAAAAGCCAGTTCCTTTTTAACTTACCACAGTTTTATCACTTGGCAAAACTGAAACCTTTAGATTTGCACCCATCTGTAGTTCTCAAAGCTTGCACCTTGCAGGAACTTATCTCATTCTCTCTGCCTCTAAGGGAAGTTCTTCGATGTTTTTGGAACATGGGGTCATGCTTCTTAGCTTGTCTGGACAGTAGCTCCCTCTCTGTGCCAATGTTCCTCTTTCTTTCCCACATGGAACATTCAATAACTATTAGCTAAACACCATCTAATAGTTTTTTTTATCATGTTCAGGGCATGTCATGTTAAGGACATTATCATATATATAAACCTAGGAATGTGAATATATACAAGCATTCTCTAGAAGAACAGAATCAAGAAGATATATGTGGGATTTATTAGATTGGTTGACACAAGAAGCTGGAGGATACTACAACATCCTTCCGCAGGTTAGTAAGTTGGAAGAACCAGAACCTTCTCAGTCCAAGCACCTGGAACCTCAGAATGAGAGGGACCAATGATGAAGTCCCAATCTGGTCCAAAGGACTGGAAACTCCTTGGGTAGTTGTCAGTCTGCCTAGGAAGAATCTGGAATCTGATGTCCTCTGGTAATCACAGCATCACTAGAAGCACGTGATCAAGAAGAATCATGCTTGCTTATGCTGCTGCTTCCTTATGCTGCTGCTTCTGTATTCTTCTGCCTTTTAGCTTCATCCAAATCCCCAGTGTATTGGACAGTGCTGCCCAAATTTAAGTTGGGTCTACTCCACTCCACAGTTTGCTGTCCCACATGCCAGTCATTTCTGGAAACACCTTCTTCAACATATCCAGGAGTCTCTTAATCCAATCAATTTGAGAATTAATACAAATGAAAAATATATAATAGACAGCATATGCAGGAAGTATAAATATATATGTGTATATATATATTAGATTTTAGAGTTGGCATATATAAATTAAAAATAGTCTAAATACTCCTAAGTAAGAAAATAGTTCTATTTTCTTCCCATTTTATTCATTTAATTTAAATTTATTTATTTTCATTTATTACACATGGCAGAAGAATTCATTCAATTTATAGTACACTATGGAACACAATTTTTCATGTTTTTGGTTGTTCAAAAATAGAGTCACACCATTCGTGTCTTTATACATGTACTTAGGGTGATGTCCATCGCATTCCACCATATTTCCTACCTTCATGCCCCCTCCCTTTTCCTTTCTCCCCTGTGCCTTATCTAAAGTTCCTCCATTGCTCCCATGCTACCCCACCATCTCCATTGTGGATCACCATCCACCTATCAGAGAAAACATTTGGCCTTTGTTTTTTTTTGGAGGTGGGATTGGCGTACTTCACTTAGCATAATATTTTCCAACTCCATCCATTTACCTGCAAATGCCATGATTTTATTCTCTTTTATTGCTGAGTAATATTCCATTGTGTATATATACCACAGTTTTTTATCCATTCATCTATTGAAGGGCATCTTGTTTGTATCCACAATTTAGCTACTGAGAATGCTACTGCTATAAACATTGATATGGCTGTGTCCCTGTAGTATGCTGATTTTAAGTCCTTTGGGTATGAACTGAGGAGTGGGATAGCTGGGTCAAATGGTGGTTCCATTACCAGTTTTCCCAGGAATCTCCATACTGCTTTCCATATTGGCTGAACCAATTTATAGTCCCATCAGCAATGTATGAGTGTGCCTTTTCCCCCATATCCTTGCCAACACTTATTGTTGTTTGTATTCTTAATAGCTGCCATTCTCAATGGAGTGAGATGAAATCTTAGAGTAGTTTTGATTTGCATTTCTCTAATTGCTAGAGAGGTTGACTATTTTTTCACATATTTGTTATTTGATAGTATATTATCTTCTGAGAAGTGTCTGTTCAGTTCCTTGACCCATTTATTGATTTGGTTATTTATTTACTTATTTATTTGGTGTTAAGTTTTTTTGAATTCTTTATATATCCTAGAGATTAGTTCTCTATATGATGTGCATGTGGTAAAATTTGCTCCCAAGATGTAGGCTCTCTAATCACCTCAGTGTTTCTTTTGCTGAGAAGAAGCTTTTCAGTTTGACTCCATCCCATTTATTAATGCTTCATTTTATTTTTTGGTACTATGGAGTCTTATTAAGGAAGTCAGGGCCTAATCCAACATGATGAAGATTCGGGCCTACTTTTTCTTCTATTAGGTGCAGGGTCTCTGGTTTAATTCTTAGGTTCTTGATCCACTTTGTGTTGAGTTTTGTGCATAGTGAGAGATAGGGGCTGCATATGGATTTCCAGTTTTCCCAACGCCATTTATTGAAGAGACTATCTTTTCTCCAATATATTTTTGGCACCTTTGTCTAGTTGAGATAACTGTATTTATGTGGGTTTGTCTCTGTGGCCTCTATTCTGTACCATTTGTCTACCAGTCTATTTTGGTGCCAATACCATGTGGTTTTTGTTACTATAGCTCTGTAGTACAGTTTAAGGTCTGGTATAGCGATGCCACCTGCTTCACTATTCTTCCTAAGGATCACTTTATAGCTATTCTGGGTCTCTTATTTTTTCAGATGGATTTCATGACTGCTTTTTCTATTTATATGAAGAATGTCATTGATATTTTGATTGGAATTTCATTAAATTTGTGTAGTGCTTTTGGTAGTATCGTCATCTTGACAATGTTAATTCTGCCTATCCAAGAGCAAGGGAGATCTTTCCATCTTCTAAGGTCTTCAATTTCTTTCTTTGGTATTCTGTAGTTTTCACTCTAGAGGCCTTTCACCTCTTTTGTTGATTCCCAAATATTTTTTTTAAAGGCTATTGCAAATGGGGTGGTTTTCCTAGTTTCTTTTTCAGAGGACTTGTCATTGATATACAGAAATGCCTTTGATTTATGGGTGTTGACTTTATGTCCTGCTACTTTGTTGAATTCATTTATTCTAGAAATTTTCTGGTGGAATTTTTTGGATCCTCTAGGTGTAGAATTGTGTCATTGGCAATTAGGAAAAGAAGAACTCAAACTATTACTATCTGTATCCCTTTAATTTCTTTTATCTAATTGCTCTGCTTGGAGTTTCCAGAACTATGTTAAATAGAAGTGGTGAAAGTGGACATCCCTGTCTTGTTCTCATTTTTAGAGGGAATGCTTTTAATTTTTATCCATTGGAATGATGTTGGCCTCGG